CTCTGTACCTGTTGTCACTGGAAAACTGTCTTATTTATCTATCCTCCAGGAAAGAAACTACATTTTTATTTTCATTTCCCTAGTGCCCAGCATAGAGCCTGATACAGATGATGCACAGATATATGTTGGCAATGAAATTCACCATTCACCACCATCCTCACCCTGTAAGTCAGGGAAAAGGGAAATAAAGTTGCTTCTATATTTAGCAGAGAAGAGTATGTGAATACCATTTCATTCCATTCCTTTTCTTCTCCACTCTCTAGTTTCTTCCCCTTTATCCAACACCTTTTTTTTTCCCCTGATGTTTAATCATCACATTAGCAGTTTTAGTCTTTCTTTAAAACATGACTAGGTAGCACCATTTCCATCCTAGGAAAGAAAAAGCATTTAACCCTTGATGCYGAGTTAGCATTTCTTAAGTAGATTATGCTAAACCTCTGAGTATTTGGAATGATAGTTTTTTCCAACCTTTAAAAAAAATGGAAAATGTTCCTCTTATATGTTCGTTGTGTGGAACATTACCTTGACACAAAGACAGCCTCCAAATATACACCTAGAGGTCACAAAATGAAAAGCCTCACAAATAGATCAAATTCAGATGCTTGAATCACATGGGTTCTTAAATCAATTTGCAATTCCAGGAGGAAACAGGGAAAAGAGATGGAGTAGGCTGGGAGAGTTAGGCTACAGTGCAAGAAGGGGAGAAGGACACTTCACCTGAGTCTTGATTTAAGCTTCGTCCCTATATTCGTTCTTTACCATACCCCTTCTCTTTTCTTCTCTCTGGGTTGTAATAGCTTTCCTGATGGTGGGGTTACAAGGACTTGAGTTCACRTAAAAAGTGAGGGAGGGAAATTCAGACTGGAGCTAACATGCTTGGGGCAAATAATTCTGACCACAATTGTGGTCTACCAGTCCATTKGGTAAGTGGTAATGAGTTTTATTGGCATTTCTCAGGGAGTGCACTTGTGGGGACCCAATGGGAATGGAATGAATGTCAATGATRGGTGTTGGATTTAGTGATGACATAGCTGTCATTCTGAAGGTGGCATGATGTATACATTATGATTTGGCCCTCCTGCCCCATTCTATCTGCAAGCAACACTCTTATTTGATTCTTTTTATCTATGTTCAGCCTGCTTATGTTCCATTTATTCAATCTGTGTAACATGTTTCTAACTTGATATCTATATTTAACACTTCTTATGAGCCTCATCCATCCTACTTGTTTTTCTTGTTCTCTAGCAGAACTGACTATTCTCAAGTAACACAGCAAACCCACACTGTAGTGGCTGAATACGGAAGTACAATATTCACTATAGGGTCCCATTACTTGGTTTTCATTGGTTGCTCTTTTAACTCCAGGAAAAAAAAATCAGGCTTCTGTAAAGTAGGTAACATGTCACTATTTTCAGCAATTGAAAAGTTAATATTTTATGCTAATGTGGAAAATCACCAAAGGAGAAAATGTACAAAATCTGTGTTTTGTGGATGGAAAATACCCTTAGTCCCTTCTTTTGATACATGGCTAGGAGCAGGGTAAAGTGATTAACAGAAATGAAATATTGAGGCTAGGAAAGAACTTGGAGATCACGGAATTTAATCTTGATTTTTAGATGTTGAGTGTAGTGTTCAGAGGGGTAAAGTCTTTATCTGAGGTACACGGCTAGTTACTTAAAAATCTCAGAGTAGTCTCAGTCCCTGGAAACCTGATTCATTGTTCTTGCCTCTATATTCTAAGAAGACATGGCGTTGCTTTCTTGTGTTCTTTTATCGGCTGAATTATGATAAACATTTATTTGAAAGGGCTTTTCTGAAAACGAGAACGCTCATAAAGTCTCCATGTATCAAAATAGATATTTCTTACATTTCACTCTGTTGAGTGCTAATGGGCTCKCTTTACTTCAATGTGCCAATCATTTAGAAAAAGAAATGAGAAAAGTCAGCATAAGAAATTTTCAGCTTTTCAAGGAGGATGGGTGAGCGGAAGTGTGGTAGGACTGGTTCAGACTGTTGGGGGATGAGTGTCCTCTGAAGAGGGGAGCAAATTGGCATCAAATATCATCTTCTTTAATTTGATAGCCACTGACATTTGAGAAGGACTCGTATATTCCTAGTTTTCAAAAAGATACCATGCCTACTATTTTCTTATTATAACATATGTGATTATTTAAAGTAATAATAAAATGAGAAAAATAAATGAGAAAGAAGCCTGGGACAAGATTGTGATAAATAATGTAAGGAAATAACAAAGTGATCATARTCCATACATTATGACAAGTTATGTGGAGAAAATAACCAGAGTGGTGTGTTAGAGGGACACTGGTAGACAGCCTACTTAGAGTGACAGGGAGGTTGCATTTGAAGCTTGTGCTAAAGRAGAAGGAGCCAGGCATGTGGAGAGGTGGCAGAAGATGACTCTGGGGAGAGAGAGTGGGTGGAATGTGCTCCCAGCAAACAAGGAGGAGAGTGTGAGATGGAGAGGGAGGGGCAGACAAGAATCGGTATATGTGTGCCTTTGCAGATCAGGCTCRCAGGGCTGGATTTTATCCTATATGCCGTGGGAAGCCATGGGAGAATTTTAAACAGGAAGGTGAAATGATTCAGACTTTTGCTTTAAAGGGAGCACTTTGGCTACTGGGTGGAAAAATGGGGGAAAGAAGGCTGCATGACAGCAGGGAGACTAATTAGGACACCATTAGACTGTTCTAGAGTGCAAGGACAGGGGCTTGGGCAAGAGCTATAAGAAGGAAATTAGGAAGAAGTGGACAGATTTCAGACATGGGAGCCCTCTTGATTCACTCTTGGGTTGGATAWAGAGGGAGAAGAAATGGAAAGAATCAAGGACAAATTCTCATTATTTTGACTTGTGGAACTGGGCCTTACCACTTACTAAGACTGGGGAACTTTAGGATCTAAAGATAGAGGATTGGGGAAGAGAAAAAAGGAGTTCTGATGTACACACATACAATTTGAAATGCTTATTAGGTAGTCACATAAAATCTGAACTGCTGACGAGATATTCTCATGGCAATATCAAGTTGGAAGTTAAATACATGGGTCTTTTAYTTAAGGGAAAGTTTAGGGCTGTGGAAATTTGAAGGCCCTCAGTCATGGGGCTAGATATTGCCCAAGGAGAATTAAATGAGAAGTGAGGACACCCGTACTCAATATGATATCCATACCCCTTTCCTCCAGCAGGCATTGTTGATTAATCACGGCCTTCTCTTCACTGGGCTCATTCCTCACTGATGAGTACAAAAGGAAAAAGTCAACATAATCTCAAAAGTCCAATTTAATTTTCTAGCATTAAATTCTAGGTGGAATTTATCGGGAGCATTTTGCCCAGAAGTAATGATAATAAAAATAATGTTAATAAAAGTTGCTAATATGCTCTAGTTTGCAATATGATTTGTTTATATACTTAATTAGTTGTGAATGCCAACTGGAAAGTTTTCACCTGGGATTTTGTAGAAGGCACAGAAGCACTCCTTAAGTGGCTAGCTCTTATCTCAACCCTTGACAGAAGCCAGCAATGTGCCCTTTACAGTAGAATATCGAAGGCCTTTCTTCAGGCAGAAAAACAAATGTCATGTGGGTGGACTTGTGCGATGGAGAGCTCTGTCTGGCTCAGATGCCTCTGTGGTACAGGACACCCCCCCCCCCTACTTTTTTTTTAAACCATCCTCAGCCTAGGCATTTGCAGGTAGAAAAGGCTGTGGTGTTCATTCTGTGTCATGTATGCTGAGCAGTAATTCATAGAACTACAGGTTGAGATAGGAAGCTCTGAGCGATCCCCTAGGTACCCCCTCTATTTGCAGATGAGACAACTGGGCCTCAAGACCAAGAATTGAAAGATTATTATTTCTTTTCTTTTCTTCTTTTTTTTTTTTTAGAAACCACTCTTTAGGCTGAGATTCTTCAGTGTTGTTGTAAAAGTTTGCCATGTGGTGTAGTCTTTGCTGTTCTCTGCTTTTCAAAGACTCCTCAYGTGGCCCTGGAGAAATAACTAAGTAGTTGTCATACATTGAGAGGAGGTGTTCGGGTTGTGAGAGGGGACCACTGAATACACCTCCGATGTCCCTTTATCGTCCTTTGAGTAGTCTCCTCTAACTTTGCTCCCTTGGTGCCCCTTTCTGATGCCAGGAAATGTACGTACGGTGAAATAATGAGATAACACCCAGTTTGTCACGGCCAGGGTGAGTCTGAGTATGGAGTGATGGATGCCTGTCATTATGTTGATGTTGGAGAAGGAGGGATTCCTGTCCAGGAGCAGGATTAGCTGGACTCTCACACATCCAGTCCTGCTGAATTGGATTCGACTTTAATAAATATTTCATGAGGAAAGCAATCCATTGCATATTTGCAGAGAAATTCAGGCACACTCATGAGCATGTTTTGTGTTTATTCTTTAAGCAAAGGCAGAGTCATTTGCCATTATTAGTGCTAGTAAATCTGTGCTAGGCACAAGGCAAGGGCAGGTTTCTTAAATGAATTATGAGGAGAAGGAAAACAAGCCTATGGGAAAAATGAGATTGGAGGCATGCTGARTGGCATTTGGGTTCTGCTGGATCCAAGATTCTCTGAATTTAGGATCCCGTTTATTTGACTGCCTCTCACCTTATTTACAGCAACTTCATCTGTTTGCAGCAGGCTAAATTGCTCAGTGTCCTGTCAAAATCCATGTCAGAAAATCACTGTCTGGCCAGTTGTGAACTTGTCAAAGTGACAAGTGGGCATGGTGACAGAGATAGCATTTCTGGGTTTTTCATTGAACGAATGTGGCCGTATGGAGTGGTGAATGGCACCTAAAAATGGAAACTATTGACAAGAAGAGAAAATGAAAAATGTGGTCTGGATACTTGAACATGGCATTTTTAACTGTGATCTTTTTTCTTTCTCTTCTTTCTCTTGTTCCCTCTCCTCTTTATTTCATCTCTACCCTTCTCCTCCTTGGTCTTCTCCTTTTTCTCCTCCTGTTCTTCCTTCCTGACTCTTAGATACAGAGAGAGAGATCCATGCAGCCCCTCATGTGAGTGAGAAATTAATTCAGTTGTTCCGGAATAAGAGTGAATTTACCTTTTTGGCCACCGTACAGCAGAAGCCATCAACTTCAGGAGTGATACTGTCCATTCGAGAACTGGAACACAGGTAAGAAATCTCCACTTTTGAAAATCTACTCAGAGTTCGTGGGCTATGCAAGATGCCTTGGAGTTTAGGGGTGGGAGCTCCTTGGAAACATTCTGCTAGCTGAGGAATGATTTCTGCTGAACACATTAATGAATCTACTTTGCATTAATAATTTACTTTGGGCAAAGTGTTTTCCTTATTTGCTCTCCAAGGATCACTAATGAGTGTCTTTCTCTCCTGCCTTTAAAAGGTTGACTTTGTTCATGGAAAACCGCATTCTATCCACCATACYTAAGTCATCAAGCAAATTAATTAGTTATGTTTAATAGCCTTCGATAAGAATTTCTTGTGTGGGAGGTGAACAGTTCAAAAGTGTTATTCTAAGGGTCACATAAACAAGTAGGGAATGTGGACAAATAAATATCACAAAGTACTGTGATGGAATGCTAGCAGTTAGAGTTCAGGGAAGAAGGGGAGAGGGCTCAATCCTATTGAGGATTGGAATATCCAGGAAAGGCTTCCTAAAGGACCTGTGGTTGTATAAGGAAAAAAGCCAAGTGTTTTCTGATAGGGGAATGGGAATGAAGGGGTGGGAACAACATTATAGAAAGAGGTTTCCAATATTTTAAGAAGGATAATGCAAGTGTGGGTACATGGTTGGAACCTAAAATTGTGTAGGGGGAAGAGATGAGATTTGTGGGTGGGCAGTGAGGGGTGGTATTACAGAGGTAGGTAGAAGCCAGATCCTTGCAGAGCCTCAGTGCCAAATGGAAAAACTTGGATTAAGGTCCCCATAGGCAGTGGGTTTGACATTTAAKAAAACTGCTCTATTATGAGGTTCAACCCTTTTCATAAAGGGTTCTAAGTTTCTAACTATTCAATGGCTTGACCACCGTAAAGCTAAAGAACAAAAAAGAGTTAATAATAAAGAAATAATAGAGTGGCATCTAATTTCAAAATTATGTCAAGGTGTTGAGTTCACTGAATTCACTGGTTGGTGAAGACCATATAGAGAGAGGACTTGAAGGACAGGCAGAATTCCAGCAGGAAAGGGAACAAGGGTATACAGAGCTGGTGTGTCGTCACAGAGGTGAGGAAATGTAAGGAAATGCACTTTTTTAGGAGGGACCTCAATGAATGGATCTGTTTGACTAGAACTGAAGGTGTTTCCTTATACTCTTTCAGCATTTGTAAGGATCAACAGTTCTGTTTTTAATGGTTAAGTTTGCTCTCAGCCTCAAGGGGTTATGAGGCACCTGATGCTTTTTTTTTTTTTTTTTTTGGCTGGGGAGTAGGTTTTAGCATTAGGAACTGGCTGATTTTGAGTGAAATCAGCGTGATGTGTGTACCTGCCTGTGAGAGATACAGGTTAGTTCAAAGGTATTCTGAGTGCTGGGGTTTGGTGTTAAGCCAAGTCTCAGCTTCACAATYATGGAAAGGCTGTCTTTCCCTACTGGCCTTGTGGGCTTGGGTTTGAATGGAGGACCACACAGTCCAAGACCAGAATGTATAGCTTCATACATAGGGGTGGGCTTCTCAAAGTAGATGAGAAACATGTGGAATGAATGTTTTTTAGTAGAAAGAGCRTGGCACTGGCTGGAGTTCTAGTTCTAGTTGGGTGACATCAGCTATTTGGTATTTTGGGACTTCAATTTCTGTGTCGAAAATGTAGGCAATAATTTATTTTGCAGAATTGCTATGAGGCCAGATAAAAGACAATGCATATTGAGCTGCTATTTCTTGACAAATATACATTTCTCCTTGCTTTTTGTCTTCAGACATATTTGTTGGATTTCTCTTTTGTAATTACAAAAATCTTACTTTAGAAAAGGTTTTAAAAAAAATCAGTACTGCCACACAGAGTTAAGATTGCCTTCTCTTATATCCCTAGCTGATTTCTAATAGAACCCGAGGATCATTGAATGGAGAGTCATCTGATAATTTTTCATTATAATAGGAAAACCTCAGATATTGACTAATAAATAAAATATGAAGAAATAGAAATAGATCATCGTCTCTGGATTTTATGGTGCTCTCTTCCATATTTGTTTAGTCTAATCAAGGCAAAGTATAAATGATTGTGAGTTTGTAATGCAGTGGCTATGGGTAGCAGAGAAAACCTGATTTCCACCTTCAGGAAGATTAAATTCTAGTTAAGAAGACCTGGGATGCAATAAAATTGAAGGGGAATATATAATGGTATATATTTAGGAATTCAACTATTTATAGTAACCTCCTWGAAGTTTCCCATCTGTAACAAATGAGAATATTTCATTGTTCTCAGGATCTTATTTATCAAAGAAATAATGTCTGCAGGAGCAAGTTGTCCTGCAAATGTTTGGCATTCACATTTGACCATGTGTAAAATCAGGCGACCAAGGATTTTCTTTAGTCAGGAGCAGAGGCTCTAGGTAACTCATGGTTAGATTGTTGGCTGGAAGATCAGAGACCCACGTTCTTTTTGTGGTTCCCTCCTGTGTGATCCTGATTGTATCACTTTTGATCGGAATTAAATATATTTGCTCTATTATGATATGATGGGCATTATTGCATTCCTAGCTGAGTTTTTGTTTGTATTAGTCAGTGGTTTTTAGGATATTCACAAAGTTGTGCATTCATCACTATAACCAATTCTAGAAATTTTTATTATTCCAAAAAGAAATTCCATACCCCTCAGCTGTCCCTCTCAGTCTCCCCATAAGCCTTTGAAGCTTAGGTAACTACTAATCTAGTTACTGTCTCTATAGATTTGTCTGTTTTGTTCATTTCACATAAACAAATTCATATTCTTAGTGGTCCTTTTGTGACGGGCTACATTTACAGTGTTTTCAAGGTTCATTCATCTTGTATGTGTCTATAGTTCATTTCTTTTGCAGAATAATTTTGCCTTGCTTGGATACAACATATTTTATTTATCCATTCATCTGTTGTTGGACATTTGAATTGTTCCCACTTTTTATCGATTATGAATAATGCTGCTATGAACACTCATAAAAGTTTATAATTTTTTAAATTGATGCATATTGTACAGAATAGTGAGATTCATGTACAAGTTTTTGTGTGGACATAATGTTTTCATTCTCTTGGGTATGTAGCYARGAGTGGAATTGCTGGATCAGGTGTAAATTCTGTTTATTTGTAGAACTGCTAGAGTGCTTTCCAAAATGACTTTTTTTTTTTAAGTGCATTGCTCAGGATATTTACAGAGAAGATCATGTTGTTTGCAAATAGAGACTGTTTTATTTCTTCCTGTCCTACCTGGATGTCCTTTATTTCATTTTCTTGCCTAAGTGCCCTGCCTAGAACTTATGGTACAATGTTGAATAGAAGTTGTGAGAGGAGACATTGTTGTATTGCTCCTGATATTTGGGGAAAAGCTATCAATTTTGACCATGAACTGTGSTATCTGTGGGTTTCCAAAGATGCTCTTAACCAGGTTGAAGGAATTATTTTCTTTTTGTAGATTAAAAAAAATCAGATGGAGGATGTTTTTATTATTTAGTGTTTTTATTATGAAGGGTGTTGAATTTTTTCCACATTCCATTTCTGTATCTATTGAGAAGATCTTGTAGTTTTTATTTTTTATTCTATTGATGTGATATATGAATTGGTTTTTGAATGTTGTACCAAGTTTGCATTCCTGGGATAAATAACACTTGACTATATTGTGTAATCCATTTTTTTATATTAGTGGATTTGATTTAATAGTACATTATTGAAGATTTTTGTATCTATGTTTCTAAGAGGGATGTTGGTCTGTAGTCTTCTTTTGATATTTTCATTCTGGTTCTAATAATGAGTTTTAGCAGATTTTTTTTTTAACTATGTGGAGTTTGTTTGAAAGCTAACTTTGGTCATTGCATGCCATGTACCAAGCATTCAATTTTAAAAAAATATTTAATTGTAGGTGGACACAATACCTTTATTTATTTGTTTATTATTTAGTTTTTTAATGTTGTGCTGAGGATCGAACCCAGTGCTTCACAYATGCTAGGCAAGAGCTCTATCACTGAGCCACAACCCTGCCCCCAAGCATTCAATTTTTTTATGATCCTGTTTAATTTGTTAGGTATGAAATTTTTGAATTTGAAAACATTGAAAATATTTCTCCAAAATTCTAATATTTATACCAGTTACTTCTTATTTTATAATATCCACTAGAATCACTGTAACACTGGTAAATAATTAAYAAATAGATTAAAGGTCCTCATGAAAGTCAGAAGACAGAAGGCAATCCTTTTGCCTTTATGATTTAATATGTTCTTTTTATGTGTTGATAATAATGTCTATAATAAATTCTGCTCTATGTGTCTAGTCATGATGTAAAGGAAATTTAACTTCATTTCTGATTTACTTGAAAGRCCAAAATATCATGAATACCTATTAAATATCTCTTCTGTGTGCCTTTTGAGATAATTTTATTTTCACTGTTATCTATTAACCTAATTAATTATATTAATAGAATCCATAATGTTGAACTATTCTTGAGAATCCTTGAATAAACTTTCAATTAAACTTACTGATGTTTGATTTAGGATTTTAGCCTCATTAAATAATAATAACTAACAATATGAATAAAAATAGTAGTAGTTACTTATATTATTTTTGAGTTCAGCCATTGTTCTAAATACTTTAAACTCATTAGTGAGTTAAAACATTTAAACTTTTAATAAGTGAAATGAATATATAACTGTTCATGTGAGTTAACTCAAACATTTTAAAACAACTCCCCCCAGTCCCTGGTAACCACTATTCTACTCTCTATGAGATCAACTATTTTAGATTCCACATGCAACTCAGATCATATGATTTGTCTTTTTGTGTCTGGCTTATTTGACTTCACATAATCTCCTTTAGATTCACCCATATTGTTGCAAATGATAGGGTATCATTTTTTATGGTGGAAAAATATTTAATACATATATGTGTATATGTATAATATATAATATATATATGTATATGTATCACATTTTTACTATGCATTCATCCTTTGATGGACACTTGAGTTGATTTCCTTATCC